CGTATTGACTTATTTCAGTGAATATGAAAATTTATTGTCCCTTGAACTAAATATTGACACAGACAAAGCAGTATCAATATTTATCTCTCAGGTTAATACATTTTTATATTCACCTCAACATACATCAATATGAGCTTATTATTATTATAATGTTTGTCCTTCAGCAGAAGAAACTTGCATGTGGTTGAGAGGGAAAAGGGAGGTTTATATTAGTATTCTTTTCCCGTTCTAAACTTCATCAGATGCTTTATCCTGCACATGGAGCACACTGCAGCTCTCATTCAAGCAAAACCCTTATTGATGGCTGTGACACTCTATGCACTGAATACAGGATTGAGCGACTGATTTTTGGGAAATGTGAAGTTAACTGTCACTAGTGGAAGGGGCGGCAAAACCACCACTTCTGTTTTATAGACTAGTTGCTCGGTGGTGCTGCCTGTAGTAACTCTGTAACCAAGAGCTACTCACAGCTCACAGAAATGAGGCGTAGTGCAGTGCAGGGCACAAATTGACAAGACTTTGATTCTGAGATCTGGCTGTGAATCGCTGCCTACAATGCTGTAAATGTTGAGCAAGGAGACACCTCCAGATCTGTTAGGGACCTTGGGGTAAGCTTATCTCATGCCTGTGTTACATGTGGCCTTCTGAGTCTGCACACTAGTGGGAACTTTATTTATGGGCACGCTAATACTGTAGAGAACACCGTGGCCTATTTGGGCCTCCTGCAGTTGTTCCAAGAAGCAAGTGTGTGTGGGGAAGAGTGTGGCCACTGCACTGTCCCTGAACAGTTGTAATTCTGATCTGTCCCTGTGCCCTTTTATCCTGAGTCTAGATCTTAGAGATGATGACAGAGGTTTCCTAGCTAGATGATGAGGGCAGGCTGCACAAAAAGGCATGACAGCACTGAATGTCACAAGACTTGCCTGGGAGCTAGAAAGGCCTTTTAGCACATGACTTCTGCTATAGGGACCCATTTATGTGGAGATACCAGCTCTGGCAGTTACACAGAAGCACTGTAGGTTCCACAGAGGCACTGAAGAAATGCTGCTGTTCCTCTCTGGAGCTTGCTGAAGGGGTAGGCAATAACGAGGCTGGGAGCAGTAGTAAAAGGTGTGTTCCTCTCTCCCACCCTGCACACCCCTCTGCTCCTCAACAGCTAGTTGCTGTTGTCAGAGACAGAGGGATCTGTCACGTGGAGCTGGATAGCAGCTGAACACCAGATATTCACCAGAAGCTGTTAAAAGCTGAAAGTTTGGCTCTGAAATTCTACCCAGCTGCTGGCAGACCAGAGAAACTTCTCCAAACTCTCAGCTGCCACAAGAAGCACTGGTAGGAAATCCCTGAGGCCAGAAAGCAGAGGACAGTCCTCTCCTTGAGATGCTCCAGCGCTCCTCAGTCTTACCCCCCTGAGGAAGCACAGCCTGCAGTGCTCCTGCGGCCGCCAGCGGTGCCGAGCCAACAGCCATTCGGCCGCATTCCGGCGAGTTTCTTTGCTGCATTTACAAGTCAGACTCGCAGCAATGAAAGTAACAGCTGTTTGTAAACTGACATTTAAAAGACAATCGTCAGTAGACAATAAGCATATGGTAAGTGACTTTGCCCATGCAGGCAACTGCAGCAGTGGAGGCACGCAGCAGCTGCAGATGCTGGAAGACAGCACTGCATTGATCTGCAGTTGGGAAGGTCATCTCTGTGATCCAAGACTGCGTTCCCTGGCTTGACATTTTTCTTTAAAGCTAGAAAGACAATAAACTAAGGACTTATGGCTCTATTTAAAAAGCAAGATTTTTTAGTCCGGGTTAAAGTAATAAACATAGCACAAATACATGCTAAAACCCCACCTCCTCAAAGTACCCTTCTTAATTAGTACTGGGATATTTGCTTTTTTTCTTCTCCTGAATTAGTGGTGACATATTATGACCATCAAAAACCTAATTAGTGAAGGTCGATTTGCTTGTGTTTGCAAAGCCACTGGTAGCAGAATCAAATAGGGACTAAGTGCTTCTTCATGATTAGTACTGCTGTTTGATAGTAAACTTAATAATGAGGGATGGTCTCAGTTTTCCTCTTTTGGAAATACCTCTGCTTCATGGTTGGAAGATTTGGTGACTAAGGCATAGGACAATAATGTCACATTATACCTTTGAGTATAGTTGGGCCAAATATGCAAACGTGAAGTGAGCACTAAAAAAAGTCTCCCTCTGAACCAACTGCATCGCTGCCTGCACTTGACTCATAACTCAGTAACCATATGCTTATATTCCACTGATAATTGCCATTTAAATGTCAGTTTACAAGCAGATGTTGAGAACCTGCCTTTGTGCCATTAATTAAATCACAGAAAAACGAAGTTTGAGGTGTGACCCTGGTTGGGCTAAATACAGTGAGCCGAGTCCCACAGACTGTGACGCACCAGGGTGCTCAGGGTTAAGTGACACGGGCAAAGGAGCATGTACATGAGGTCACTGCAGCAGCCTCGGTTAATGGGCTATGGCAGCCAAATAAAGTGTGTTGTTGGCATTTCCTAGTGGCAGTTATAATTTTGTAGACAAGTCCAAGTTTTGTGGATGGCTGGCAGTGATCAGGATTGAGGGGAAATGTTGGACTATGAAGGGAGACAGATTTAAGTGTTTAAGTGCAGAAAAAAAGACAAAAATTTATTAAATAAAACTAGCAAAATCTGGAAGGGTGGAGAAGGAAGCCCTCCCTACTCTACCAGACATTTGCATGTATTTAAAATCCTTCCCAATAAAGTTCATAATGAATTTAATTCAGTCCCCTATGGCCCAGAGGAATGTTATGAGTAATAAAAAAGTATTGCTAAGGGACAGATGACTGCCAAAGTCCTATTCTGTGCCAGCAATGCATATTTATATTATTAGCACTTAAACACTAGGTTTATTTTACTACATAAATGATCCTTTTTCACATATTAAGAATTAATACTGCAAGATCCACTTTTGGGAAGTTACAATAACCATTAACAAATTGTTAAATTTGTATGCTTTATTTCTAAAGAGGTTTGGGGTGGGGTTTTCTTTCAGATTTAAACAGTAGTTGAATGTGGTAATTCCTAATTTGGGTAAACTGTTTTTTGGCTGGTTTATGGCTTAGCTTTTTAAAATGGTTTTAGTCAAGGATCTTTTAATGTCTTTTTTTGTGTGTGTTACCTTGAAATTTCTACATCAATGTTAAATGAATTGTAAGCTGAAACACTTAGTTAAAGGTTGAGATGTATTCACTTACACACAGTCAACTAGATAACACAAGGGCTCCTGGCTTCCACTGGCATGGTCTAATGCACTTTTGATGATGAAAGTGAGTGATTCAAACGTGTGCTGGAAATTTCAAGCACCACTGATGGAGGTCACTGGACCACAACATTACTTTGTTTATAAACATCGTTATTCCATGGAAGATAAATCTCTGCTCTCATCTAGCGTGTCATTTCAGTGCAGTAGTCAGGAAAATGGAAAAAAAAAACCCAAACCAGCGCTACTAATTTTTTTCATTTTAATAAGAAGGAGCGGAAGGGAAGGTTGGATATGAGATGAAATGTGAAGGAGTCCAATTCCTTGCAGGCAGCAAGCTGAAGGGAAAAAATGCATCAGTATTGGTGTAAGATGCAGTTTGGTTTGCATTCAAGCTGATTGATACGACATTGTTTAAGCACCTTCTGCATATCACAGTACAACACAAACTTCTAGAGCCTGTGTGCAAGTTTAAATTGATGACAGCAGTGATTCAGTCAAGATATTTTAATATGCTAAGGTCTGAACATAAAGCTTTTTGTCTGATGCACTTCAGTTTACTTCATACCTTCAGTGTGAACAGTTGAAAAAAATATTATGAATTTGTCAGCGTGTTTATTTACATGGTGCATCTCCTTTGAATCAACAAGCATTTTTTTCAAGTATAAAAATGAACAATGACGCATCCCTGGAAAGCAACAAAGTTTTACAACTGTCTCCTCCCATCCCCCAAAAGACTAACTCACCGCACTGTGCAAGGGCACAAGCAGCTCATTTTTCACTTGCTGTACACACAACGAAATATTCAGTTCCTCAGAACAAAAGTGTCTGAAGAATATAAGGGGGAATCTTAAGCATTTGGCAGTTTGAACTAAAAAAGAAAGGTCAACAGTAAAGAACTCAGAAACAAGCAAAAAGTCAGACATCTCAGCGCACTGCATTTCAGCATTAAAACTGAATGCACACGTTAGCTCAGTTTTTCACAGCACCATTCATAATTTAGGAAACTATTAATCAGCATGATGAAGTATCCTGTTCCTAACTAAGAACAAAAAAATTACACTATAGAACTTAAGTTTCTTTTTCCTTGAAAAAAATCGTCTGGTAAAATTTGACAAGAATTCTGCTGACCTGGGTTTGTGGGCTTTGCATTTAAGTCGCACAGGAGACAAAGCCACAGCGGAGCAGTAGCATCCTTTCGCTGCCTTTTCGTAAGACCTGTCACAAGTCACTGCTCAGGGCTTCTTATTTTCTGCTGGTCCGTGCCAGGCCTGCTATCCCTGTATTTGTTATGCTGACAGCAGAGGAAAAAGCACTGAAGGCTAGAAAATTTGCAGGGCTACTACAAAATTCAGATCAGCTTTTGACAGAGACAAAACAGGTACTGAAAAACGAGGCAAGAAGGCAGGGGAAGAGTAGGGCAGCCAAGGAAAGGGGCATGGGATTGTGTAGGAATGGGAATCAGAATAAAGAGACTGTGGCTAAGGAGAGTTATGGTTGTTAAAGAACAGAAAATGGCAAAGGTAAATGCATTTATTGCTTGCAGGCTAAGAACAGCCTTCCAGGGCTCTTAATCTAGTGCTGTAAGTTTAAGATACACTACAACCCCCCTCCAAAATTACTGTGACATTAAGTCATTACAGAAGCGAGTGATCAAAAAGACAACTTTTATTTGGTAGCTCATTCAGTGAGATCATAAAATTTTGAAAGTAATTATAGCTTTCATTAACAAAATTAATTCATTAAAAAAAAAAAAAGACAGTTCATACCTTCTGTTTGCTTGGGGGTGGTAGTGGAAAGAACATGGACATACCCTGTTTAAGCCCTGGCAGTTTCAAAGCTATGAAAAAAATCTTTCTTCTCTTTTCTGCCTCCCATCCCCGTTACATTCATGTCTTCCCACTAGTGAAGGATCATTTTCCTGGCTTGAAAAATCAGTGTGCACTATATCAGAATTGTGTTCCTACAGTGATCTGTTCAATGGGGGCACTCCTAGTCTAGACGGGTAAGAATTAAAAAGCTTCTGTGCTTCCGTGGAGAAAGGAGGCGAGACGTTGGAGATTAACAATATAACAGAAGTCTACGGGGAGGGAAAACTCTGCTCCATCAGGATGCTCGCTACTGTTTTGTGCCTCTGCAGCAGGGAAGCCAGCCTGCAACTTCTACTCCCTCAAAGTGTTCATATAAGGCACATTTCCTGCAAAGAGAAGAACAAAGTGGGAACAGTGAACCGGTGGCTGTATTGTGTTGCAGACACAATGCTTGGTGGGGGGGGGAGCACTGAGAGGAATTGTTTTGTGTACCTGGTATTTCATGCAAGACGCCAGGATTTCCATCCAGTGCTTACATGCTCCAGAAGCCGTGGGATGCCAACGAGGACTCAGTGTCCTTCCCCTGCTCTGGCTCCTGCGCAGGAACAGGGACTGCTCCCGTTCACCCGTACGTTTCTTCAGGGCTGCATCACTGCTGCAACCCTAGTGAACGCCCGCCCACAGAGGCAGAGTTTTCAGACATCCGACACTTAAGTCACCCCCTTTTTAATGCCATTAGTGATGCAGCAACATGTATTTATATTTACATATAAATACAAAATGGTCAGATACCACATTTTTAAGCATAATTTATAATCTGAAACTGCTTACACTTTCATGACTAGGCTTGGGTTTTTCTCATTTACATTCATAATTTAATTCCACTGGAATTTGAGTTTTAAGAAAGCCCAACATATCTTAATTACCATAAAAAGATCATACATATTTTACTTAAAAATATCTTCTGTAAGAGGAAATTTACCAAAAATAACACGAAATATATTATTATGCATACATTTTCTTTTTTGTAAAGTACAAACAAGAATCTGATCTCTTCTGGGTATTGCCTGATCTAATATGGCTATAGGTTCTATTTATTTTGTTTGTTTTTCAAAGTAAAGGGAAAGACATAAGAAATGTAAGAACACAAACCAAAATAAAAACGCATTCTTTCCAAAGATACAGATATCAGTGAAAGAACACTTTGAGAACTAATAAATTACAATAGGTACAAAGAAACACTATCCAAGCACTATGCAGTCTTTTGTCAGAGCATGTGCTGCAATGACCTTGTACAGTTATTAAAAACAACAAACAAAAAATGCTACTGGCAGAAAAAGCTGTCAAGCAAAACATTGAAATATTGGTACTATTTCCTAACAAGTAAGTGCAGAACTGATACTAAGTACTTCATGTTTTTTTTCCCCCATGTATGCACACCTCTTTCTCCGTCTTTCTGTTGGCAGGACTGATTGTTGCAACTCTGGCAATATGCTGGATGCCAAACCAGGTTAGGAGGATCATGGCTGCTGCTAAACCAAAGCAGGACTGGACTGTCCCCTACTTCAACGCATACATCACTCTTCTTCCCATTGCCGACATCTTCTTCTACCTCAGCTCGGTGGTGAACCCCCTCCTGTACAACATCTCTTCTCAGCAGTTCCGCAGCGTGTTTCTGCAGGTCCTCCGCTGCCGCCTGACAATCCAACATGCCAACAAGGAGAAGTTTCTCAGAGCCAACCTGAGCTCGAGAGCAAGGAGCAGCCGGTCTCTACGCCCACTGCTCTTCAGCTCTAGGCGCCGTTCTTCTATACGGGGCAATAACAAAGTTTTCTTGAGCACTTTTCAGAATGAGACCCAGCCCAACTGCCGTCTCCAGAAACCAGGTCTTGAACCACCAGAGCCCGGCTTGGAAGTAGTGCCACTAGAGACTAGCTCAGAGCCCACTCCAGATGCACAAAACGGCCGTTGTGAACATCAAGTATGACTTTGTAAGGCAAGGTTAATGATTAGCAATGAACTTAAAAACATAGGAATTAAACTGACTGAGGAATTGACTACATCTGAAAAGGAATAACACAGATGGTTTTGTTTCCAGTTATGCAAAAAGAGCAGGAGTTCTGTATCCTGCTGCTGGGATTTTGAAGTGCACACTGGAAATTCAAACTGCTCACTGAATTCATTAGCTGCCAAAAATATCAGCCCCTCTCTCCCCATAACCACTGAACTTCCCTTGCTGTTGACAGGGATTTGGAAACAAATGGAAAATAATTGCAGTGTCTTTGAAGGAAGGAGGAGACAGAACAAACTGTGTCAGGGCAAAAAACTTGCTTGAAGTTTAGCAATACAAAAACAACAGAGCCAATTTAGGGAGCAGGACAGTGGTTATCATGTGTGCCCTCAGCACCACGCCAGAATTCCCCCTCTTCTTCGGCCGGGGTCCATTGCAGAGCGGAGTGTTGCAGCAGCTGATACAAACAGAGTTCACCTTCCCCGGAGAACAAAAGGACTGGTACCCAGCGGAGGCTATCAGACACGCTGCCGAGGAGGCGCAGGATTTGCGATACATGATTCCTGTGACACAGAGCAAAGGTTACTTAGTTTCCTATGAACATGGTTTTGCTTTACAACAGGATTCACGCTTGAAAACTGTTCCAAAACCAGTTTAGGTTTCCAAAGCAATGCTGGGGATCAAGGCAGACCCCTCAGCTCTGACTGGGCTCACGGCTCTGCACTGCAGGAGCAGCACAGTCACCCTGGTTGGGATTTTTCTGTTAGTTGATTTGGGTTGGAACCAAAAATATTACAAACTTGATTTACATAATGTATATCAAATGATGCATTTTATGACCAGAATTCTTCATATTTTGGAATAAGCTGTTTGAATAGCTGTAACTGAAAGGCAGTTAGTTTGAAAATGACTTTTGTTCCTGTTGCTGAACATGTCTGAGCTGTTTAAGGTGTCTAAGTAACTACAATCTTCTATACTGTTAATTTGTTTTGAGCATTTTTCTCCTCTTCTTGTTTCTTTGCCACAAAGACACAAGTAACCAAAAGTAAAAGGAGAATGACAATCAGCAAAACTTTCATCCTTCCCCCGCCCCTCCCCTCCCCCTTTTTATTTTTTTAAAGAAAAACTAGAAGCACTTTTCCAGGTAATCTCAGTTCTTGCTGTCTTTGAAGCTTAATACCCTCAACAACAAAAATTTCCATTTGTACAGAAAAGACTCTTCCAAGTTGTGAGTCTTCCCTTTTAAAATGTAATTTAAATTAATGTAATTTTAATTAATAATATAATTAAATTTATGTCTCAAATTGTGTTTACCAGAGAAAAAGTACATTCTGATGCACATAGCTGTTATTGTTAAATGGGTTAGAAAGGCTTTAAAATACATAGTTGCATTTTCCCCTGTCACAGTGGAAAATGGTTGTGGCAGTTCCACCTCTCATTACTCTAAAATTTTCCTGCAAATGATACAGTAGAAATTGTGTGTTGGAAAAACATACACATAACCCATAAATAGGCAATGGAGGTTTGCCTTGCGGTTATCAAAAAAAGTAAGTATTCTAAGACTAATAAAATTGCTATTCCTTTTGAATATGGGATTCTCAAAAGACTTTTTTCTTCTTAAAGGCATGGGAACATGGTTCCCTTGGAGAACAGTTCCTCTGCATCCTGCAGCACGGTCCCAGCATGTTTTTAAATACACTGTCATCGAGACTTTTTTTGGAGGGAGTGAAGCAGGAATATGACCTGTAGGTTCTGAATTTACGGTACCTGCAGATACTTGTTCAGTCCCCAGGGACTTGGGGAAATAAGCACCACAGCACCTACGCAGTCCAGTAGATGCCTCTGCAGCAGCGACTGCCGCTGCGCTGCTAAGTGCTGTGTATGGCAGCAAAGCACCGTTTGGGTTATACTCAGAAAGAAGGATTTCCTGTCTTCAGAGAATTTTAATTAAAGCAATTCTTTTATACTGTCACAACATTGCTGCCACCCCAACAATGCAGGGGTTTCCCTGCTTTGTGTTCTCCCTCTGCAAATCTAAACTCTGAAATGTGTTTTAAGGCTATCTATCTAGTTAAAACTTATGAGGAGAAGCCCTCAAGTCAGTGTTAAATCTTCCCCTGTCTCCAGTGAGCTTCAATCAATCAACACAGCAGGTAAAGCCTTTTCTCAAGAAGAAGAGGAGCTACAGGCTGTTCTAGCTGTAACAGCAAAGGCACACTGATCAAGAGGAACAATCTTTATTACTATAGTTTGCAAAAGGAAGGGAGCTCTGTCTCTGTTGACAAACCACTGCTGTCAAGGAGCCTCAACTGTGCTGCCACCAATTGGCTCACGATACTGAAATCTCAGCTGATGTTTCCCACAAAGACCTGGTGCTTTGTCTGTGTTCCTCCTGCAGTCCTCCAGGAGCGGAGGCAGACATGACCCTTCCCATGGCTACAATGAACTTTTTTTCTTCCCCTTCCCTCTTGAGAAAGAAATTCTCTATGGAGTGGAACTAGGCACAGTGATTGTTCTCCATCTCTCATCCCGCATCTCCTCATCACATATTCCTTCCCTGCAGATACAGCCACCCACCAAACTCAGCTGTTCCTCAGTCTTCCATACAAACAGCAGTGAATCTCACCTTTCCCCTCAAAGACCAAGACTAAAAAGCTTTTGACATTGGCAGATTTCCTATCCCCGTTGTTTTATAGATCACTCCCTGCCATTTCCTTTTCACAGAATTCCTGCAAAGCCCTGTTTACAGTTTGAACTAGTGATTTATTAGTTTAGGTTGCTGAAATATCATATACTTTGTGCTTTTCCCATAGACTAGGAGACTAGAATTGTTCAGTGCTGTGAACAATTAGATAATGCCCTCTGAGGCATGGGTTTCACCAGGCAACTCTAGGAGCCATCTCCTGCAAAAAAATCAAAGTCCTGCAGCTTAACTCTCTGTGTTTACAACAGCTCTGTTCTCCAGGATAAATTCCACAGAATAATCCTGAGCTCTTTTTGAAGTCAAAACACACTATTCCTGCACAGATCAGATTTTCACGACTCAAAAGTTTCACACACAAAAGGACCGTGTTCATGCCTAAACAGAATAATCTAACTACTAGTAAAATCCCACTGTAACACTTCTGCGGCTTTTCTCTAAGTATGTCTTAAAATAGGAAATTCCACTCCCAAATAATTGTTTATTCCCATTCCCAGCTCTAGTAATCTGAATTGTAACAAGATTCTTTACATAATCAGTCAGCACTTTGATTCAATACTTCAATAGCTACTTGGCTAAAGATGTGCCCCTTCACATCCACCTTTTTTTTCTTTAACTCTTGATAGATTCTTTTGAGCTCACAAGTCAGCTGCTATCATACACTAACTGTGCTGCTTACAAAGCACCAGGTATGAACTAAACTTGATCAGCATAGAAAGGCTGTGCTGCTTCTCTAATTCTGCCGTATCCTTATAGCAAGATACAATGAAAACAAGCATAGAAGATTGATGGAAAAAAGAGAGAATGTTAGCACTACAGGAGTGACATTTTTAAAACACTTCAGTCATTTATTTTTTTTTTTTTTAACCAGGAGTGTGAAAAAGCAATGACACTTCAAATAGTGTGAATTAAAGAAAGGCAGGAGAAATACTCTTAAACCTTCTTCCCATCATACTGTGATTCCAGTTTAATTGTGGAAGGGAATAAATTAGTACAGCTGATGTCCATGGTTTGATGCCAGGGCCACTACTCTCCTTGCTCCAGCAAACAGGTTAATGTACCCCAGGCACTGCAGTTCACCCAGAGTTCTGACAGGACAGCAGAATCCCTTCTGGATGATCTCTAGAGATTTCTCCCTCAGACTCCTCTCTTGCAGTGGTTTATTGTACTGTTGAGCCAGTTCTGAAACTATTTCTGAGATCTTCCTGAATCATTTGCCACCAGCAGGCTGAACTGCAGACAGGTCTTCAAAGTGGTTATCTGCCTCATAAGGCTCATACCACAGACATAACTGCTAATTACCGGCTATTCTTGCTTGAGCAATCAGCTCGATACATTCATTAACACGTCACCTAGAAATATAATTGCCAACCTTTCTGGAAGCTTTTCTTCTACCTCAGATTATTCTGAGCTGCTGGCTAGGCAAGGACACTACACATTTTACACTCTGCTTTTACTGGGATGAGTCATTCCCAGCTACCTACCCTCAACAGTTTGCACAAGTGCACAGTTAAATTTATTTACTAATCTACAGTTAGTATATTTATTGCCCAATCTCTTGATGGATGAGTACCTAATAGTTAATCCTTTTTCAGGGATTCAGCAGCCCTCCCAACAGCAGTGTGGGTTATGCATATGTGTAGGTACTATAATGATGTTTTACTACAAAGTACCTACTACTGACCGATTGATTTTCCTTCAGTTTGGCTTCAAAGTTTGTGGGCTTGGGTGAGGATGTAGTTCAAGTACAAGTACTTTTAAGAAGAAAGAGGCTAGAATATCTGTGTGGTAATGCAGTAGTATTCCACACCCTCTCCTTGAACATCCCCCTACAACTACTTTCTTATTTTTATCTTTTTTTTTTTTTTTTTAAATTAAAAAAAAGCTTTGGGCTTAAATCAGTCATTGAAAATTTACTTCTAAACTGAGCAATTTGCCCATCATTACACCTCTCTCCCCCCATGTGTGATCATACTTTAGACAGTGTCAAGGCCCAAACTACTATTTCTGCAGGATTTCCACCTTATTCCATGCAGTGAAGTGATGGTGTAAATCTCAAGGCTTTTCTATAGTTTCTGCTTGTAAACACTGATTTTCTCACCTGGATCCCATGCCCACACATGCCCCCCACAACTTCAGGCTGACCCCCCATCCCCCTGTTCAGCTGCAGTCCAGTCCTGTGCATCCACCCCCCCGGCATGCTTTGGCCACATGCAGATGCATTCAGTCCTGAGAGCAACAAACAATTCATGCTATAATTTATTCAAATCCCAAAGTGAGAGTTCTTCCACCTACCCTGTCTGCAGAGCCCAGTACATGTTCTCTCGAATAACAGCTTAACTTGTTACTAAGACAACCAAAAAAAGGTGACATAACACCTACTTCTTACACTGTGTGTATGCAGAAGGCACCAGAAGATCCAAGCTTTTTCTCCTGCTGCTTGAAAAGGATCTTACTAGGCACCTCTGATTCTTCTGTTATAGCAGGTACAGACAAAAAAGAGCAAGTGTAAGCATGACTCTCCATCTTAAGAGCAACCATAATCCATGCAGTGTGTAACTTTAGTTTGCACCTATACTCTCAAGACTGTCCTTCAGCAAAATACACACAGCCTCTGAAGCCAAAATAGGCAACTAGGATATCACCTCTGAGTTCAGTGACCTAATTTCTAAAAAAGCCAGTCACCTTCCCACTCTATGACCCAACTGCTCTGGATCTGCTTTCTGCAATGGCACACCTCAGCAGGAAGTTGCAGCCCTCTGCTTTACCCTGGAACAGTCGGTGGCCTCATGGCCACAAAACTCTTAGCTGTAAGTTTGATTCCAGACAAGTAGACGATGTCATTTTACCCTACGCTAGCTT